CTGGTAGAGTTTTTTGGGTCATTTATGTAAACTGTCATATCATCTGCAAATAGTGAGAGTTTGACTTCTTCCTTTCCAATTTGTATCCCCTTGATCTCCTTTTCTTGTCATATTGCTCTAGCTAGAACTTCAAGTACAATATTGAAGAGATATGGAGAGAGTGGACAACCTTGTCTTGTTCCTGATTTTAAAGGAATCGGGTTGATTTTCCCTCCATTTAGTTTGATGTTGGCTGTTGGTTTACTGTATATTGTTTTTATTATGCTCAGGTTTGTTCCTCTTATCCCTGATCTCTCTAGGACCTTTGACATGAAGGGGTGCTGGATTTTGTCAGAGGCTTTTTCAGCATCTAATGAGATGATCATGTGGTTTTTCTTTTGCAGTTTGTTTACATGGTGGATTACATTGATAGATTTTCAAATATTGAACCAACCCTGCATCCTGGGGATGAAGCCTGCTTGATCATGGTGGATGATTTTTCTGATATGTTCTTGGATTTGGTTTGCCAGTAGTTTACTGAGTATTTTTGCATCAGTGTTCATGAGGGATATTGGTCTGTAGTTTTCTTTCTTAGTTGTTTCTTTGTGTACCTTGGGTACCAAGGTAATTGTAGTCTGGTAAAAAGAGTTTGGCAATGACCCTTCTGATTCTATAGTGTGGAACACTCTGAGGAGTCTGGTATTAATTCTTCTTTGAATTTCTGATAGAATTCTGTACTGAAATCATCTGATCCTGGGCTTTTTTTTTTTTGGTTGGGGGACTTTTGATAACAAGTTTTATTTCAGTAGGGGTTATAGGTCTATTTAAATTGCTTATCTCTTCTTGATTTAATTTTGGTGATATCTATCCAGAAAATCATACATTTCCTTTAATTTTTCAAATTTTGTGGATACAAGTTTCAAAGTATGACCTGATGATTTTCTATATTTCCTCACTGTCCATTGTTATGTCCCCCTTTTCATTTCTGATTTTGTTAATTAGCGTGCTCTCTCTCTCTGCCTTTTGGTTAGTTTGGATAAAGGTTTGTGTGTCTTGTGTATATTCCGTAGACTTGTATTTGTTTTTACCATGAGGCTTGTGTTTGAGTTATGGCACTCCAGCTTGAATTTATATCAGATTAAATTCAATAAGTTAATAACTGCTTTATTTGCATATCACTTAATGTTGATATCACAAAATTACCTTTATATATTGTATGTCCTCAATATAAGCTTATAACTTTTAAAATATATTATCTATAAATTTATCTTAAATTATCTATAAAACAAAATATCAAGTTGTAACCAGGGTTGTTATTGTTTAAGACTACCTATCTGTTTATTATCTTTTTGTGGCTCTGGTTCTTCCTTGGGATTATTGGCTGCATTGGTCCACGAGAGTGGAGGGAGCAGAAGTGGGGAAAGGGCTCCCATGGCTGTGGTAAGATGGAGACAGCCCTTCAGGAGACAGACTTCAGTGAATCAGCTCAACATTATTACAGAATATAGGGAATATATAGGATTGAGGAACCTGCAGACAAACCCTAAGTTGCATTCAGTGACACTGTCCTATCACAAGGCTTCGAACATGGCAATAGGGTCCTATAACAGAGCTCCTAGCACAAGTCTTCTAACAGGAATCTGTGCCAAGGGTCAAGCTAAAGATCAGTCAGCTGACTTTGACAGCTTTCAGATAAGGTCAGTCCTCCCAGCCCAGAGACAGTCTCCAGATAAGGGCAGGTAGAAGCAGGGGAGTGAGGGAGTCTCCATGTCACTGAGCTTTTGGAAAAAGCTGCCAGACCCTGATAGACTGCCGATGATAGACTGCAACCTCTGGCCAGACAACAAGGCCTTGCAACAATCTTTATTAGGATTTTTATTTCATATGTTTGTAGGTTATTGCATAGCGCCTATTCATTTCACCTTATATCCTGGGTAGGTCTAGTGGTAACTGACTTTCTTATTTATGTATTCATTCATTCATTTATTTTAATCTAGAAATATCTTAATTTCTTCTTTGGTTTTTGAATGCTGGTATTGCTGGGTATAGGATTCTTTGACAATTTATTTTTATTTTTATTTTTTTAGCACTTTGAGCTTATTAGGCATCTGGCCTCTAGTGTGATAACAAACCCTGCTAATAATCTTAGGCGATCCCATGTATGTGACCCCATTCTTTCATGTTGCTTCCACAAGTCTTTTGCCCTTTAGAAGTTTGAAAGTGCAACATTTTGCCCAACATGCATATTTACTACTTTTGATTGGGCCTTCTACTTTAATAATTTATTATTAAGTTAAAAATATGCTTTGTCTGAGAAAGTTTAATGTACTTGTTATCAGATATATATACAGGTTTCCTTATCTCACTGAATTTTTTTATTTGATTTTAATAGGATATAGCTTTGCATATAAGTTTACCCCCTTTTTTTCTTTTGGTTTTTCTAGACAGGGTTTCTCTGTGTAGCTTTGGAGCCTATCCTGGCACTCACTCTGGAGACCAGGCTGGCCTTGAACTCACAGAGATCCGCCTGCCTCTGCCTCCCGAGTGCTGGGATTAAAGGCGTGCGCCACCAATGCCCGGCAAGTTTACCCACTTTTTAAGTGCAGTTTTATTGAAAATTTATGTAGTTTTTCAGCATTACACACAATACACAGTTACTCTGGAATTTTTTTGTTTACATATACATTTCCTTGCAATTTTATTTTATTTTAATTTGTGTTTTGAGTCGGGCTTGCTATGCAACCAAGAATTTGTTAGGATCTTGCCTTAGTCTCCAGGTAGTGGGAAAATAAAATTACGGGGTTAAAGCTGAGCATTTGTAACACTGTTGATGTTGCTGAAAGGCTGCCATCACTCTTCTAAAAGGCTACCTGTTGACAGCAGTGCACCGGCAGATTTCAGCTTTCTAGCCTTTTACCACACTGCACCCTGTAATTAAAAAATAGTTCTCTCTTCTGAGGTTAAAAAATAGTAACTGTCATGTGGCACAGGGCTTTAATCCCAGCAGCACTGGCAAGGCAGAGACAGGAGGTTCTTGTGAGTTTAAGGCCAGCCAGTCTTCATAGCTAGTTTCAGACCAGCCATAGTGAGACCCTATTTAACCTCATGCCTATTACCTTCCCTATCCCTTGCCAAAAAAAAAGATTACTTGACTTTGTTTGATTGCTAGTAAAGCTATACATTTCAGGTGTTTTGTTTTGGATTTGGGTTTTTTGTTTTGTTTGTTTGAATAAATTTCCTTCTTACATCCTTTCTGCATTTTCTATTTGGTTGTTTCAACTGGTCAGTAATGCTGTTCTAATATTTTAGTATGACACTTTTCTTTAAAAAATTAGCTTTATTTATCAAAGAATGTTAAATAATAACAACCCCCTTTTAATAATAAAAGACATTAATTTTCAAGTTCTCTAAAACCTGTTTTAGACTTGAAAATTGTTCTATAAAGTCTTGTTAAAACATGTTTATTCTGTGAATCAGGAGCCTTTTGTGGCCGATGAATACATTGAGCGTCTCGTATGGAGAACCCCAGGAGGTGGTTCTAGAGGTGGATCTGAAGCTTTTGATCCTAAAAGGTAAAATTTAAAACAAAATTTCCATAGTCCCAATGTAGTATTACAAATTGTGTTTAGAGATGACTGAGTTTATTGGGATTCCTTTTAGTATTCATATAAAACTGTTTTAATTAACAGTTTGTCCCCATCTCAAACAATTCCTCATAGCATTAGAAGTCTGAAATTGTGTTTTTACTTAAGCACATTAGGCTGATTGGATGAAGGGATTTTATTGACATTAAGAATTTAATTTTACTGTGTGGCATTAAATTAGGAAGGTCTCATTATACTTATGAAATTAAAACATGGCTGGGCATAGTAGTGCACACCTGTAATCTCAGAACTCTAGAAGCTAGGGCAGAGTTTCAAGTTGAAGGTTAGCCTAGAATACATCGCAAAACTCCGACTCTGAACAAACAAATAAATAATAAGAAGTTGACTATGTTCTTTTAAATTTAATAGCTGTAAGTCAGGGAAACAAAGTCACTGAAGTCTGTAATGCACTTTTTTATTGTGCATTTATCTTGATTTTTAAATACTAAAGCTTATTTCAATATTTAATGGGGGTTCTTTAAGGTTTTCATTTGCCTTAGAGATAATTCATTACAAAGTCAATAACAACTGGCTATATTTCCAAATGCTATGTATTTTTAAAGCCATGTGATCTGTTTAAGGTATTATAAAGAAAATGAACATGCTTGTCCCTATCTCAACAAACCTTATTAAGACCTTCCTAAAGTAATCTAATTAGTTTCTTTTGGTTAATAATAGGCAAGTTGATTGTATTATTACTTTCCTCTATTAGGTTATTAGAAGAATTTGTGAATCATATTCAAGAACTCCAGATAATGGATGAAAGGATTCAAAGGAAAGTGGAGAAATTAGAACAACAGTGTCAGAAAGAAGCTAAGGAATTTGCCAAGAAGGTACAAGAGCTCCAGAAAAGCAATCAGGTATACATTTAGCTAAGGAATGAGTAGTTTATATAGACTATAACATATTTTCACTTTTCTTAGTTTATAATGTCTTCATTCCTTTTCAACTTTAGGCATTTGAAGAGTCAAGTCAGATTATAGCAGCTTCTAACTCTCTGGTCTTGTGGAATAAAATAATGCATTGTTTTTGCCTACTGTTAGCATAGGTGTGCTACTTGGGTGGGTTTGGAATCACAGCACTCTCCTTTTCAGGTTAGGGTGATAGATGCTTGAGTCTGACCCTTGCTTTACCTCTTAATCGAGTAAGCCTTCACAAGACTGACTTAACTAGTCCATAGACCTGTACTTTGAGAAACTCCTTATTAGAATGAATATTTAAGAAGTTATTTTAATTCTATTTAATCATAAATAAGACCAGATCTGGATTAAGTTATTCCCTAAAGCAGTAGTTCTCAACTTTCCTAATGTTGTGACCCTTTAATCCAGTTCCTCAGTTGTGGTGACCCCCAACCATAAAATTATATTGTTGCTACTTCATAACCAGTTTTGTTACTGTTATGAATCATAATGTAAATATCTAATATGCAAGATATCTAATAGGGGAGGGGTCACACCCACAGGTTGAGAACTGCTGCCCTAAAGAAACTTGTTTTGAGTAGTTTCACAAAAGGCATTAGTCTCAGTTCTATTGTAACTGTACTTCAGTTCACTTTTCAGTAAAACCAAACCACTAGTCTGGTCCCCAGGCATACACATACCAGACTTCTTAGCTCCTATTAGGTCTTGGGATTGATCTGAATGTCTAAGTCTCTTTCCCTGGCTTAGTTTAATTTGGAATTTGTCTTTTCTAAGTGTAGCTTAAAGAACGTTGTTGAACTTTTCTCACTCTCAGGAAGCAAGCTCATTTCTACTAAAAGTTCATTCATGTCCTTTTATTTAAGCATATATTGCTGTGGTAAAGTATTTGATTAAAGAAGTCAATAATTTAAGTATGAGTTGAATAATTATAGTGACAGTTTCCATATACTACTAATACAATTTTGCTTTGATTAATAAAAATACTGTTATTTTTATTGAGATAACAGACTGGAGCAGGTCTGTACAGTTTGAATTGTAGTCCAACCACTAAGCTAGTTGTATATTCTCAAGCAATTTAACCTCCATGAGCTTTGTGTTTTTATTTGTAAAATGAATTATGATAACACTAAGTAAACCATATTGATAGTAATATATAATTGATAAGTGATAGAATAGTATCTGATACAAAGGAAGTCCTCAATAAATGTTTCAGGTTTTCCCTCATTAATTTAAGATAGAACAAGAGTATCCTACTGAGTTATCAGTAGTTATCAATTGTTCTGCTATTTGCAAATCTAAGGAATTGGTTGCATTCAGTTTCATGTAGGACAAGGGAAAGAAAATGCAGAAAATATAACTTTGCTGTAGTAGAAAAATTGCCATAGTCTATCCTGTTTTCAAAATTTGGAAAGAACAGATTTATCACAAATATTAGTGTCACTTATGTTTAGTAGGAAGTATTAAGACAGAGTCTTGATATGTAGTGCAGATTGGCCACTCGAAGTTTTCTTCCTATCTTAGTGTCCCATGTGCTGAAATTACAGGCATGTATCATGCCCAGCTTAGCATTGCTTTTTAAGTATTTTTAATGGTAATTTTTCTTTTTAATCAATACCCTTCAACTTGTAATACATTTTTCTAATCTTTTCAGTTTAGTAGCAAGAGTGTTCTGTTGGGGAGGTTCTTTGTCCTGGCTGGTCCCGCTGCCCTTCAGCCCCAAATGAACACACAGATGCTATATTAGTTATAAATCTGTTGGCCGGTGGCTAGCACTTCTTATTGGCTAGCTCAGTCTTAATTATTAACCCATTTGTGTTAATCTAAGTATTTCCACGTGGTCTTATCTTACCAGAGAAGGGTCCAGACCTGTTACTCCTTTGGCAGCCCTACATGGCAACTGTCCTGGTGGGCTCCCTGTGCCTACCTCTCCCAGAATTCTCCTAGTCCCTTTCCTAGTTCTGCCTATCTTCCTGCCTTATTGGCCAACAGTGTTTTATTCATCAACCAATATGAGAAACATATATACAGAAGGACTTCCTCCATCAGTGTTGTTCAAAAGTCCAGTCCCATGGAGCTGGGGAGGTAGCTGTGTGTAAAGTACTTGTTGTGCAAGCAGGAGGACCTGAGTTCCTAAAAAACTGGGTTTGATAGCATTCATCTGTAACCTCAACACAGGAACAGGGTTAAGGGATGGTGAAAACAGAGACAGGAGGATTCCTTGAGCCATGCTGGTTGAAATGACAGGCAGCAAGCTCCAAGTTCAGTGAGACCCTATCTCACAAAGTAAGGTGGAGTGCAGTTGAGGTTGGCACTTGGTGTTGACCTCTGACATCTAAACTGCATTCCATAGGCAAGTGTATCTCCATACATATATACTCTCCCCTCCCCCAGGTCTAGTCCCTTTGATACTTAATTGTTTACACAATCATTGTTTAGGGCTCTTGGGTGCCTATGGTGTAAAAGTTGGAAACTTGGTTAAGAGTTTTCAGATCATGTCATGCTAATGAGTATCAATTATTTTTGTGGACCTCATATATAAGTTCTGTATTGTTAGAGAGTAGTAGTGAGGTTAGTATGTAAATATGTTTTTTGCTGTGTTGGGGGTCAAACCTAAGGACTTGTTCATGATAGGCAACTGATCCACCATTAATGCCCTGGGTTGGTAGTTTTGAAAGGTATTAACTTACAAACTTAATTCTCTGATTATATTTTCTGTGTGCATATATTCCTAGGTTGCCTTCCAACATTTCCAAGAATTAGATGAGCACATTAGCTATGTAGCCACCAAAGTGTGTCATCTTGGAGACCAGTTGGAAGGGGTAAACACACCTAGACAACGTGCAGTAGAAGCTCAGAAATTAATGAAGTATTTTAATGAGTTTCTAGATGGAGAATTGAAATCTGATGTTTTTACAAATTCTGAAAAGGTAAGCATTGTCAGAATAAAAGCAATAATCAAATTTTAATTGGTTTGCCTTATATTTTGAAATTATAATTCATTGTAAATGCTGAGATAACTATTTTAAAGTATTTCCATTGACTTTTAATATTAATGAAATTTATATAGTCTTTAATAGGTATATGGTATGGGGTAGTAGATCTGACCAAAATTTTTGAGGAGCTGAAATGTCTTTCTGTAAAGGAATCCACAAATCCTAGTTTTTACCAGCAATACGTGGAAGGATCCAGATTGTCTTTTTTATGAATTCAATTCTGTCAGTTTTGGGATAATTGTTGCTAATTGTTCCCAAAAAGTCAGTAAGAGCTATCTGCCAGTATTCATTGACCTTCCATAAGGAGGAAATTTCCTCATTAGTTAAAGGTACTATAATTTCTGCTGGATCTTTTCCAGTCAGTTGACGAAGTCTTAATTTGCCCTTTAAAATCAAATCAGATATCTTTTCTATGTACGTCTTTAGCAGTTGGTGGCAGCTCAGGCAGAGTCACCTGTGCTAGCCCCCAAGTGGGCATGGTCAGCATTTCCCCCTACAGATAGCTTCTGGGTTAGGATGTGAGCTCATGTCTACTTTTCAGCACTGGGACCCCATCAGGCCCAGACCTTTGTAGGCCCTGTGCATGCTGTCACAGTTTCTGTGAGTTCATGTGTATTTCAGAACTGCTGTGTCTAGAAGGTCTTGGTTTTTTTTTGTTTTGTTTTGGGTTTGGGGGTTTTTTTGGGAGGTGGGAACTCTTAAAATCTTTCCACCTCTTCTTCAGGGTTCCCTCAGCCTTGAGGGTAGAGAAAAGTTAGAAAGATCCTATTTAGGACTGAGTGCCCCAAGGTCTCTCACTCTCTGTAGTGTCCAGTTGTGGGTCAGTCTATTGTAGAAGGAAGCCTATCTTACAATGGCTGAGTAAGACACTGATGTATGGATATAGTAAAACGTTGTTAGGAGTCATTTTTATTGCTATATTCCTTTTGAAGCTCAGGATAATTAGGAAGTATCTATATTTAGATTGATTTTTTTTAAACTTGATTTATACTTATTTGATACTTGATTTATACTTATGTTTACTCTTTAAACTTTAAAAATTTTAAATTACCGTTTAGGTTTTAATTGAAAGAAAATCATCTTTACATTGTTAGTATCTTTCTTGGTTACTAAATCATCGTAATGGGAGACTCACAATAGTTAAGTTAGTTTCTCTCCTTTGTTTCACTTTCATTTGTATCTCTGTTTTCTTTTATCTCCTGTGCTCTGTATACTTCATTCTGCTTTCCCACTTGCCATGTTTTGTTCTATTCATTTGGTTACTGTCATCATTAATAGTCATCATTTTTTTTGCCTGGTACTATAACAGCTAGCCATATGCTAAGAATGCAAATGTGGAGACTTGAGAGTTGTCCTAGTCATTAAGAGCACATTGTTTCTCTTGCAGAAGACACAGGTTCAGTTCCTAGTATCCACATGAGTGGCTGACAACCATTCATATTTCCAATTACAGGAGATTCAACACCCTCTTCTGACCTTTATGGACACCAAGCATGCATGTGGTACACATACATACATGTAGGCAAAAGTCATACACATAATTTTTTTCTTTCTTTTTCTTTTTTGTTTTTTTTTTTTTGTTTTGTTTGTTTTTTGTTTTTTGTTTTTTGAGACAGGGTTTCTCTGTGGCTTTGGAGGCTGTCCTGGAACTAGCTCTTGTAGACCAGGCTGGTCTCGAGCTCACAGAGATCCTCCTGCCTTTGCCTCCCGAGTGCTAGGATTAAAGGCATGCACTGTCACTACCACCTGGCCATACACATAATTTTAAATAAATAAAAAATTTAAATTCATTAAGTTGACAATTGTCGTATAGTCTTCTGGCTATGTCAGTTTCTGGATTTTTTCCATTTACTTTCCAAATAGAAAGAAAAGGAAAATCACCCACATAGCTCTAAGGAGATGTGACTGTAGGAGGAATTAGAATTAGATAAAATGCCAAGCACATCAAATTACTTTTTTTCTCTCTCTCTTTCTCTCTCTCTCTACCACCCTCCTTGCCCCCCCCCCCTCTCTCTCTCTCTCTCTCTCTCTCTCTCTCTCGCGTGTGTGTGTGTGTGTGTGTGTGTGTGTGTGTGTGTGTGTGTAAGTCCTGGGGCTTGTGTTTGCTAGGCAAGCACTCTATAAACTGAGCTTAGTGCTTTTTTGTGTATAAGACCTGATGACTGTTTAAAACTGTTTTAAACAGTTCAAATGCAAGCAATTTATCAGGTATTGTATGGTACTTTTTTGTATTTATTGATGCATATTTTAAGTGATATTGTAAGCAATTCTTACCAAACAGCGCTGGGGATTTAGCAAAACAGCTTTTAAGAAACAAAACCATGGGGTGAGGGGAGGGAGAGGGAGAAGGGACTTACATGTGAAACAAGCTTGTTCCCTAACTAGAACTAATAAATAAATAAATAAAAAAGAAACAAAGCCATGGTACTTTTACTGTATCAAGTTTACAAACAGCGTGCTTCCTAAAAGGAATAAGAGTGAAATCCTGATGGAAGCAGAGCTGGCTGGCTGTTAGCTGTGGGTTTTTGGTTTTTGGTTTGTTTTATTTTGTTTTTGGTTTTGGTTTTTTTTTTTTTTTTTTTTTTTTTTTTTTTTTTTTTGTTGTTGTTGTTGTTGTTGTTGGTTTTCTGAGACAGGGTTTCTCTGTGTAGCCTTGGCTGTCTTGGAACTGGCTTTGTAAACCACGATGGTCTGCAACTCACAAAGATCCACTTACCTCTGCTTCCGGAGTGCTGGGATTAAAGGCATGCACCTCCACCGCCCGGCCGTAAGCTGTACTCTGAACAGGATATAGATGAGGAAAAATGATGGGCTTTGCTAGTAAGACTGAATGGCATGGCTAGTAGTGAGGTTGTATTGACACTTATACTCACATGTGTTAGGGTAAAGAGAGCACCTGACAGCTGAAAATGAGTCACCTGCTGAATCAGACAAGGAGAGATCTGAAGCAGGGAATGCTGCTGTTCACTGTCACATGGAATAAGCAAGAATAAGCCCTGCTACTATCCCTTGCCAGGGAATCACATAAGCACTTAGAAAAATCTAACTAATGTTCTTAGTCCTTCCTTCACAGTTATAGGACACTTAATGTGTCAGTTATTAAAATTGTGTCAAAATAAAAATACTAAATTGAAATTTAAAGAAGTAGCCCTTGAATGATTTCCTTATACTGTTTCGTAAATAAGCATAAATGTCTGTATTTAAAGAATTTTAGAAAAAAAAAGAATTTTAGAAATTTTGCCTAAGTTCCTTTCTTCAGCTTGAAAATGAATACTTGAAAGTATGTACATATTTCTATACTATATTTCTTTCAAGCTACTATTTTAAACTATATTTTTATATACATGTTATCAATTTATATGGTTAAGTTACAACCATTTTGTTATTTTATTCATTCAGCTTAATATATGCAGCAGTATATTCTAAATCTTCTTAAGTATTGTCTATTCATAAAGTTAGAAGAAATTTCTACTTTGCTTTTGACAAACAAGGATTTTTAATTTGCTCAGAGAGTAAAATTGAATTGCAGATTTTCTTGGGGGAAGAATTGTGTTATCAAAAAAAAAAATCAAAATATTTTAAGCACCAGGAAGATACATGGTTGTTATGTGTTGCCCCTAAGGCTTTAAAGAAAATTGTGGCAATAGGGCAGTATTGCTCTTTTCAGCTAATTTTTGAAATCTAAGAATTCTTTTTAATTGTTGCTTTTATTTATTTCTAATAGATAAAGGAAGCAGCAGACGTCATTCAGAAATTGCATCTGATTGCCCAGGAGTTACCTTTTGATAGGTAAGTTTATACTTCAGGAACTTACTTGTAAATATATACATAGTTTATGGGGTAAAACTGCATTTTTCCTGTATTTTTCTTGCTCATTAAGGCAGCAAAAACTTATTGAGCACTTCATTTGTACAAGATGCAGTGTAATAATGTATTTGATACAATAAGTTAGTTATATTAATTATAATTACGTTAAATATATTATAATTAATACAATAATATTTCATTGTTTTTTGAAAAACAAAATTGATGAAGATCTTTTAAATTGACAAAGTAAGATTTTGAACTTTTGAGAACCAGTGTTAACTTGACTACTCAGTGCTTTGTATTACTACACCGGGCTTAAATTTGGGGGTCCTAGTCACCTTTGAAAAGCTGGTAAGAGCTATATAGTTTCTTCCAAAAATTAAGAAGTGTATAGATTGTTGTATATAATTGTATGGAATTTTAGACTGTGCATAGAACCTATCCTAGAGAATTTAAGTTAAGAATAGCTTTGTAATGCAAGATCCTGGGCCATCACTAACTAGATTCTACCCTACAATAAACTGTCCACTGAGAAAGAAATGCTCTTCATGATCTCTCATAAGAAGCAGTTCCTTCCAGTGACTATCTGAAAGAAACACAACTTTCTGCATAATGCAGAACATGGTTTTCATCTGTGGATACTTGAACATATTTAGGTACACATAGGTTGTGGATGTATTTTGTGTATTTGAAGCTTGACTGTTATTTTCCTAGCATACAGTTAACCACCCCCATATATTTATTTTAATCTTAATTCTGTACCATCATAAAGGATGAATAGTAATAGTTTTCTTAGTCACCCAAGAGTTGGACCATTACTTAAATGGATAAAATGTCTAGGTCAAGATTAGGTGGATGTTCATGGTTGGCAACATTCTCTGTCCTGCCTTCCATTCTGATTTTTCAACATCAGACTGTTACTGTTCATGTTATTTATCTTTTCTATTCCTTGTGTCAGGGGGCTGGAGGCAGGGTCTGTTCTGAATGCTGGGGAGTTGGAACCCAGGCTCTCACACATGTTTAACATGCCTCTAGTCAAGCCTTAGAGTTGAATATATATCTTAGTCAGATCTTGGCTAGATCACTAAAGCCACTCCATTGTCTGCCTTGACTTTATTATAACATTTTTATATAGTGCTTTAAATGTGAATTTCCTTTTTCACCTGCTTTTAGTGCCTTCTTCTTTCTTCAAATGATCAGTTGTATAGGATCTCTCAAAATCAGTTTCCCTTGATGCTTAATATTTGAAAAGTTTTTAGTGTGTTTTATGGTTTTCAGTTTGTAAAAATTGATGGTTATTCTCCTAGACTTATCTCCAAATTCTTTTATGGTCTCTTTCATTTTCCTGGTATTTAGAATAATTCATTTGTGGTTTTTGTCATTTGTAATTTCTGTATCATTATATATTAAAAAAAAAACTTAAAACTTTACATTGTGGTTATTCTTCTCAATGGCCAAGTGAACAATTCAGGACAGAAATCTAACTTTGAGATTGACTGGGTTGTTAGTGCCTTAGGTGGAACTCTTCCTTTAACAAAGGAATTGATTATTCCATGTAAATCTCCTGAATGAGAAATAGCAATTTCATTTGAATTGCTTCAATTTTATCACCTGGCATGTTTTCTTTCAGCATTCTCTTCCACAGCTTTGTTTTATTCCTTTTTTATAGGGACATTTTACTTTTATGATAGTTTTATATATAAGAAAAGGTAGAAAGATAATCTAGAGGGTCCCCATACATTACTGCACCCACTTTCCCCCTTATGTCATATTTGTCACAACTAATGTATCCCATCATTGACTTTTCGTTTTTTTTCAGGTTTTCAGAAGTAAAATCCAAAATTGCAAGTAAGTGCAATCTATTTATTTAGCATGTTTTTAAAAAGGAAAAAAGTCATATTTTTAAAAAAAAATTGCAACATGAGAAAGAGGGAACAACATCATTGATCCATCCCATACTAGAGTCTGAGGCCTCTTCCCTCAAAATAACCATTCCTAATTTCTGCGATGTTCTACTAGTACCTTTGTGTATTTTGATGTATATTTTAAAATAATTAGATTTTTCTATATTTAGTTTAACTGTATTTTTAGAGATTGTGTTCATTTACATACCTCTGAATAAGAGTTTTCTATTGTATTGGGAAGACGTGATCATTTCAGTTCCTATTTAGCTATTTCACTCCTTATATTATAGTTTGGTTTTTTGGGGTGTTTGTTTTGTTTTCTTGAGACAGGGTCCCACTATATATCCCCAACTATTCACTGTGTAGACCAGGAATTCTCTATATAGACCAGGCTGGCCTTGAACTCACAGAGATCTTTATGTCTGTCTCTGCCTCCTAAGTGCTGGTGGGATTAAAGGTATGCCTAACCACACCTGGCTTATGTCAGTCTTTGGGTTGTGTTTTAAGCATACCCATGCTACTGGGGGAGGGAGGGAATCCCTTTATTTTTAGCAGACTTGACCTGTATTCACTGTTTGGTAAACCATTTCTCAGAAAGCCTGTTTTTCCAAATCTTAGAATAAGGACGTATGAAGATATTTGGGTTCTCTAGGAATATTTTTGATCACTATTAAAAGTCCAAGGTTCAAATAGTAATTAAGAAATGTGATTGCCTTGAGAATATGGTATTAAATCGAAGGCCACATTCTATCTTAGGACAAAATTTGATATTTAATAAACTGTTATTCTCAGAAGTATCTTAGCATTGGTAAAGGCTTTCTAGTTCTCATACTTTCCCTAGCTTTAGATTAAAGGTTAAGGATTTTTTTTCTATATTTTGCCATCAAAATTGACATCTGAAAATTTTCTTTTTTTTTTCCCTTTCCTTTTTCGTTTAAATATGTAGGCATCTTTTGGTTTAATGATTAATTATAAATCATCATCATTCTCTGAGGAGCTCAACTATTTTGCCAGTTTGTACATTTTTGTGTCTTGAAATGTAGATTTGTATACATTAGTATATTATATGAGCTAGAGTCACTTTATAATCTCATGTTTCTGTAATTCTTCCAAGGAGAAACACCCATAACCACTATAAATTTTGTAGTATTTGTAGATTTAGATGGCTGTTTGTAAGTTGTCTACTAGATTGCCATGATACAGTTGGATGGTTTCCTGGTTTTAGGTAAATACCATGATTTGGAATGCCAGCTGATTCAGGAGTTTACTAGTGCCCAAAGAAGAGGGGAGATCTCCAGGATGAGGGAAGTAGCAGCAGTTTTACTTCATTTTAAGGTAAAGATAAAGATTTTTAGCTCATGATCAGTCTTCAAGTTTCTGAGGATTTTATATTTGTCCTTTGATTTCCCTTAATTGTTGTATAATGTTGATTGATGTTTGTTAAATTTTACTTAATATTTAAGGATTTTTCTGGTAATATTAATGTTATTTCAAGCAATTTAAATAGTTGGGGAAAGAAAATCATGTCATCAGCCTTCTAGTATATCATTTTCAATCAAAAATATTTGTAAATAAGTAAAAAGTAAGAAAACCCGAATGTAAAAACTGGTAGAAGATGCGAACCAAAGAGTCGATGCACTGTGACTAGAAATAAGTACCTGGGAAATCTCAAGTGCTGAAGACAAACATGTAGATTATGGAGCTATCTTCCTGGAATCTGAGTTGGAGATAAAAACCTCATTGAAAAATCCTGTTAATTTAATCATAGAAAATAGGACAAGATACCCATGTTAAATTACTGGATGGTTTGCTACCACTAATTTTATTGAAGTCTGATGACTGTTGATTATTCACTGGGATACAAGATATAGTTTTATTGCATATAACACTTTTGTTGAGATTGTTATTATAATTAGAATCAGACAGTAACATTGTTTCTTCTTTATAGGGTTATTCCCATTGTATTGATGTTTATATAAAGCAGTGCCAAGAGGTAACTTTACAGTATACTTTTGAATTTTACTTTATACTAATCTGTATTTTGAAGCCATTTGTAAATAAAATATTAACAAAGTAAAATATCTCTGTCATTTAGGGTGCTTACATGAGAAATGACATATTTGAAGATGCAGCAATACTCTGTCAGCGAGTGAACAAGCAAGTTGGAGATATCTTTAGTAATCCAGAAGCAGTACTGGCTAAACTTATTCAGAATGTGTTTGAAATCAAACTACAGGTAACTTTAAACAATAATAAGTTAAATAGTTCTTAGGGTAATGTGTTGGGTTTTTTTTTTTTCTACAAGATTTTTAGATTTTAGTGTGTGTGTGTGTGTGTGTGTGTGTGTGTGTGTGTTCATGCATATGAGTGCAAATGCCCACAGAAGCCAGAGGTGTTAGATTCCCCCTGGATCTGGAGTTATAGGTGGTTGTGGGCCATCTGATGTGGGTGCTGGGAATTGAACTCAGGACCTTTGGAAAAAAAAATTTTTAAGTTAACATATCAAGAAATGGGTTTCATTATAGCAACTTCATATGTTCTCCTTTGTTCTTCAGCCACTCCCTACCCTGTACCCTTCCTCTTCCAGGTGGTCCTTTTGTTTCCTCATAGAAGCCCCCTTCTGCTTTCATCCTTTTATTTCTCACCTCCCTTAAATCTCTTCTTACCCTCTTACCCCCTTTCTAGTTTTATGACTTACCTACAACATACTCATGTAATTTTAAAATTAGGTCCACAGGCAAGAAAGAATGTGATATTTGTGTTTTTAAGCTTGCCTATTTATTTAACATAATGATTTTGAGAAGTTATTCAATTTAATATTCCCTTAACAGAATGTTACTTTAATTTTTAGAGTTTTGTAAAAGATCAGTTAGAAGAATGTAGGAAATCGGATGCTGAGCAGTATCTCAAAAGTCTCTATGATCTGTATACCAGGTATGTGGAGACAGGGCCTCACTATACCTAGATAGGTTGGAAGTTACTGTGTAGACCGGGCTGACCTCAAGTTCACAGAGAAGGTCTACCTGCTTCTTCCTCGTGAATGCTAGGCTTTCAAGACATGTGTGACCATTGCTGAGGTGTATTGTTAATTATTAGACAATAACAGTAAATTTCATATTTATTTTCTCTCTCTCAATAGGAAGTGGGAAGTATTCATGTACTTTGTTAGCAGTGTCCCTTTCATCATTAAATGCTTGCCTGTATAGATTGGAGTTGCACAAGAGCAGAATTCTTACTGTACTAACAAAAGACCTGGTTTTAACTGACTTAAGAATTTTATTTGTTATTTGTGAGCTACTTTTAGTGGTGCATTTGTTGCTGTTGTTTTACTTTAAGAATTAGTACAGTATCTGTAGTCCCTTTGTTTTGGGAGACAGTTCATCCTAATAGCAGCAACACTCTCTTCAACAGTGTGGAATGAAAGCCTAGAGGTCAGTCCACATGGACAAAGACAGAAGTAATGAATAGACAGTAGAACTCTTAGAATCATTTGGGTATCTTATGGTGGAAAGCTTTAGAACATACGTTAGGCTGCTCTCCAGTTTTGCCATTTCTATGCTAGCCATTGCTTCACAGCTTTTTTTCCTAGGCCATTGCTACCACTTTATGTGGTTTTTAAAGCTATAATGTTATTTGTAATATTTTATTCTGTTCTGTATATAACTTTATAAGCTGCTCTCTATATCTTAAGTAGTCTCCCAACATTTAAGAAATGAGGGTTTGATGTAAACCATTAAAGTCTCATTATCAGTATAAAGGATCTTTAGTGTTGTTGCTGTGTCTAAAATATGTATTAATCTTTTTCTCTCTCTTTTCCATGAAAAGAACCACCAGTCTTTCCAGCAAATTGATGGAGTTTAACTTAGGTACTGATAAACAGACTTTCTTGTCTAAACTTATCAAATCCATTTTCATTTCCTATTTGGAGAACTATATTGAAGTGGAGATTGGATATTTGAAAAGCAGAAGTGCTATGATCCTACAGCGCTATTATGATTCAAAAAACCACCAAAAGAGATCCATTGGCACAGGAGGGTAGGTTTCTGAAAATTAGGTATAGTTAAAATCGAAAATGTTAAGAACATTAAGTATGGGCAAAGTTGGTAAATATTAGCTGTCATTAAGATTTTCTATGAACAGACCTTCATGCTGTATGTGCCGTTGACCAAATCCTGCTCTCAAATCACACACGAAATGACCTAAACTAACGTGATGAAAATGTAAATCAAATAATTCTCAATCAAAGTAATATAAAGATAATACTAGCAATATACAGAAGTCTGTAGTTTAAGTTCCTTTCCAGAGTTAATTGTTCTGGGTTATTAACTATGAATCACATATCTGAGATAATTTGCATATGAGAAGAAGAGAATTTGCTGTAAAGTTGGTAACATTGAGTTGCCCAGATCATTTCCAGATTAGACCTAGCAGATCTACAAAGAGGACTAGCCTCCATGGTGCCTTTCGTACTGTGGTTTCACCCTTGTACAACCACGCTGCTCTGTTGTGATTAGAGTATAATAATAAAGATAGATAAGATCTGAATGGCATTAGTAAAGAAGTGAAAATCTTGGGCTGGTGACATGACTCAGCTGGTAAAAGTACTTCTTGTGCAAGCCTTAATAACCCAAGTTCCATCCCCAGAATCCGTGGTATCAAAAACTGACTTGTGACCCATGTGTACCTCCACACATGCATGCACACATTACCTAATACATTTTTAAAAGAAAAGATCTTGAGTTGTTTTCATGCTAAATCAGAATCTTTATTTCACAAGGTAAGCCTAAAGAATATTTCTAAGACTTCAAAAAATGAGATCACAGTAGCCTGAGCTGTATGTTCTAGTAGCAAAAGTAATTTAACCTAGAGATGTCTACATAATAAATGTTTGAGGTGATCCTTACTCAGTAAGAAAAGCACAATTATACTTAATAGATCAAATGTAATATAATGAAGATATGAGCAATATATTTAAATGGTTGTGTTTTAAAAGCACTAAATTTTTTAAGTTTTCTTTTTTATGCAAGACTTCTTTTAGTTATTTGTTATTTAGAATAGCTTCTTGAGTTGAAATTTTGAAGCTGCAAAATGTCTTTAAAAACCATAACTTTAGAGAGTGGAGACATGGTTTAGTGGGTACGAGCATTTGCTATTCAATCATAATGACCTGAGTTCAAATCCTTAGTGCCTGTATAAAAAGCCAAATGTGGCCATGTGCTCAACTGTATTGTCAGCACTGGGTGGGTTGAGGGAGCAAGCAAGAGGATCCTTAGTGCTTTGCTGATTGTTAGCCTAGCTCCAGGTGCAACGAGAGACCCTGTCTTAAGGGAATATGGTGAAGAATGATCAAGGTGGGACTCCAGACATCTTTATATGGCTTCTTTGTAAGCAAACAGGTGCATGCACTCAGACACAGTTCAAAACCCCAAATTTATCCTTTTTTGATGAAAGTCATTTAAAACTAGTTTTTGTAATTAGAATTTCAATCTCTTGGTTATTGGCTCATTTTGGGTTTTGTTTCTTCTTATTTGCTGATATGCATTAAGGTTGAGAGTATTTGCCGTTAAAATCTATAGTAAACTTCCTTTTTCATTTGTCTTTATGATGTACTAGTATTCAAGATTTGAAAGAAAGGATTAGACAACGTACCAACTTACCACTGGGGCCAAGTATTGATACGCATGGGGAAACTTTCCTATCTCAAGAAGTGGTAGTTAATCTTTTACAAGAAACCAAACAAGCCTTTGAGAGATGTCATAGGGTAAGAATAATAAATTAATGTTTTTAAGCTATAGATGTATATCTTAAGTTTTACCTAATTTATACAAAGATAGAAATATACTTCCTGATTATGACCACTAACTTTTTAATATTAATTTTTAATTGACACAGTTTATACAAATTGCATGTACTTATAGGTACCCTATAAAGTTTTGATAAAAATGTATGTTGAGTAATATTCAAATCAGGATGAGCATATGTATCCTCAAATATTCATCATGTCTTTGCAATAAAAACATTCAAACTCTATTCTAGCATTTAAAAATATAGAGTACATTGTTACTCTGTTGTCATCCTACTGGTGTAATAGAACACCAAAATTATTTCTCTTCCCTGTTGACTAGCCTTTCCTCATCACTCTCTACCTTTTTCCACTCTCTCCTCTGCGGCTAGTGACCATATTCTACTCTTAGCATCTATGAAATTCCCTTCTTTAGTTTGGCCTATGAGATCATGCAGTATTTGTTGTTCTGTGCTTGGTATCTCACTTAACAGAATGTCTTCCGGTTCCTTCCCCATTGTGTAGACAACAGAATTTCATGGCTTTGATGCCTAAAAAGTATTCCTTTGTGTGTATATATACCATATTTTCTCTATCCATCATTAAGTAGACACTTAAATTGATTCTGTTTCTTGGCTTTTGTGAATATTGTTGCAATAAACATTGGGATGCAGATCCTCTTCAATAAGCAAATTTCCTTTCTTTATATACTCAGTAGGGGACTACTAGGTCTTATGCTTTTTAATTGTTTTGAGAAAACAATACGTTTTTCATAATGCTTGTTCACATTCCCACCCACAGTATAAAAAGGTTCTCTTTTCTCCATGTCCTCATCAGCTTTTGTTACTTTTTTATCTTTTTGTCTTTGTAATTGAAGTAAAATGATAATTTGCTGAATTTTTCTTTGGCATTTCTCTGGTTTCTAATGATCATGTTTTCATTGTGTTGAGTTCCTTGTATGTTTCCATATGATTCTACAATTATTAGATTGTATAATTGCAAGTATTTTCTCCATATTCTGTAAGTTTTCATTCATTCTTGGCTGTTTCCTTTGTTAGATGAGTTGAGTATAGTCTTGTCTGTTTTTACTTTTGTTTCCTTTGCTTTTGGAGTCTCATTCAAGAAGCATTTATCCATTCCAGTGTCCTGAAGTATTTCTACTATGTTTTTGTCTTGTAGTTTCATAATTTGGAGCATTATCTTTAAGGCTTTAATCTATTTTGAGTTAATTTGTGTCTGTTATTAGAGATACGTAGTAGGTATCCACGTATTGTCACCACACCAACTTAAACAGACTGTTTGCTTTGTGTTAAGATTTATGTCAGATGAAAAGAAACTTCTTGTATCTAAAGCTGAGACAACAGTAGTCTATGCATATAAATGTAACTGCTTAGGAGATAGTTGGATAGCATGTTCATTTATCCAGACAGAAGCAGTAAATTCATCACTAGATCTATGATTTTCCAGGCCATGGGCCTTTGACCAAGTTCACCAGTACCAGGCATGAACTCACTCATGTGGCAAAAATCATCAAATTCTGTAGTTAGTTTGTTTATTTATTTATTTATTTATTTATTTATTTATTTATTTGTTTATTTTTTGCTCTTTGGCTCCTTTGGGGACCTGCCACTCAGCTTCCAAATAAATACACACACAGAGGCTTATTCTTACTTGTGAATGACTGGCCTTAGCTTGGCTTATTTTTAGCCAACTTTTCTTAACAAATTATCCCATCTTTTACCTCTGGGCTTTTATCTTTCTCTATTTCTGTATAGCTTTCTTTACTTTATTCTGTGGCTTGCTGTATATCTGGGTGGCTGGCCCCTGATGTCCTTCTCTCCTTTTTCTCGATCCTCAATCTTTATTCTCAGATTTATACTATTTATTGCTCTGCCTTCCAGCCCTGCTTATACTTTTTCCTGCCTTGCTATTGGCTGTTCAGCTTTTTAGTAGACCAGTCAGGTGTTTTAGACAGCCAAAATAACACAGCTTCACAGAGTTAAACAAATGCAACACAAGAGAATGCAACACATCTTTGCATCATTGAACCAATGCTCCACAACATAAACAAATGTAATATATCTTTAACTAATATTCTACAACAAAATCCCATTAGAGCCTAGTTGGTTGCTTCCATAACAGGCTTATCACTGTTGTACCAACTCATTAGTCATTCTTGATCTGTTTAGGTTTTCTGTTTCTTCATTAGGTATGTGTTTAGGAATTTATCCATTTCTTCTAGATTATCAAATTTGTTGGTATATCTTTATTCATACTAATCTATGATCCTTTGTATTTTTATGGAATCTATTATAATGTATACTTTTTCATTTCTGATTTACTTATGGAGAATTTTTCCTTTTTTTTCCTTTTTTGAGATAGTCTCACTCAGTAGCTCAGTTGATCTGGAATTCACTATGTCACTATGTTGACCAAGCTGGCCCGGAATTCACAGAGACCCCCTGTCTCCTGAGTGCTGAGAGTAACAGCATGCATGGTCACACCTAGCTCTTAGTCTATTTGTTTTGTTTCTCTTTTTTTTTTTTTTTTTTTTTTGAGATTATAATGTAATTACATCACTCCCCTTTCTCTTTCCTCATCCCTCTTTGCTCTCTTTTAAATTCATGGCCTCTTTTTTCATTAATTGTTGTTATTTGCATACATACATACATACATACATTCCTAAACACATAATACATAATTTTACTGTATTTATGTTTTCAGAGCTGATCATTTATATTAGTAGTAACCAAATTGGTTTGCCATTCCCTGGGGAAGACTGTTTTTCCCACCATCAACACTCCTTCCATGCCAGCCATCCTTTGTGTAGGGCTGAACCTTCAAAACCCCCCCACACACACACACACACCCTGACCCCACATTAGCATATCTGTTGTTGTCCTTGTTCAGCTCATGTTTTGGTTTTACTGGTGATAAGACTTTATGGGTGTAGCTTCTGACATTTCTAGAGATATAATCTCATAGCAAACTTGAAATCTGAAAATCAAAAGTAGTAATAACTATAGTAAATGTGAAATGGTACATCTTTTTAAAAGTCCACATTCTTCTGCCTCTTACAACCTTTTTCCCCCTCTTCCTTAACCATCCCTGAGCCTAAGGTGCAGGAATTGTCTTGTAAATGTATCCACTGAGACTTTGTCGATTTTTTAAAAACATAGTTATTTGTTTCTGTAAACTTCTTGCTAGTACTGCTTCATCCACAAGGTATTGGTTTGTTTTAGTTCCATTATCATGTAGATCAAGAATTTTTTTATTTCCTTCTTTATTGACTCATTGGTGATTTAGGTATTTAATTTCCATGTATTTGTATAACTTCCAAAGATTTTATTGTTATTAATTTGTTGCTTTATTTATTGAAAGATATTCAACTTTTAAGAATTTGTTCAGATTTGTTTTATGTTTCTTATCACCTATAACTGCTCTGTGTGCAGTTGAGAAGAATACTTATTCTGTGGCTTTTGTTTGGGATGTTTTGTAATTGCTTGTTAGGTTCATTTGGTGTAGGGTTCAGTTTGATTCCGATATTCCTTTTTTGGGTAATCTGTATTTTGCTGGTTATCCATCCTTTGTTGAAAGTGAAGTATTAAAGCCCCTCTAAGGGACTTACTGTAATAGAGCACATCTTTCTCTTTAAGCTTGTTAATATTTCCATATGTATTTGAGTGTTCTAATATTGAGTATGTATGTATTTTCAGTTGTTAGTTCCTTTTGTTGAATTAGCTGCATTGTTATATAATGACTTACCCTTGTGTCTTTAGGGTTTTTTGTTTTGTTTTATTTTTTTCTGATTTAAATGGTTCCTGCTTTCTTTTGGATTCTATCTCTGGAATATCCTTTTCTTCTCTTAACTCTAAGGTACATTTATCTTTAGAAGTGTGCTAGGTTTTTTATTTGTTTAAGTAATATGTAGGTGAGTCCTTTTGTAATTCCACTCAGCCACTCAGACAATTTAGTTCATTTACATTTAGCAAAATCATTGATTGTTAAGGTCTGACCCAGCCATTTTGTTCCTTGGGTTTTTGTTTTGTTTTGTTTTTGCTTTTTTTATAGTTTTTCCTGCTTAGAGTTTTACTTTGTGGTTAAGTAGTTTTATCTACTAATGTATAGTGATACTTTATTATTTTTGATGTGTCTATTAAGCTCTGTGCTTTATCTTTATGATGATACTTAAACATCCTTCAATTATAACAAGCTGTTTTAAACTGATAGCAACTTTTGATTATAACAATGGGGGCAAAAATAATAATAATAAAAACCTTTGTACTGTACTACATTCCTCTCCACATTTTGAACCTTTATACTGTCTTACTTCATTTCTAGTATAGTGTTTCCTTTTTTTTTAGATTTGATGAAAATTATATAAATGGTCTATGTACTATGTTTATATATAGTATTAAAGCATTCTGAATTCATTTGTATTGTCAGCTCTTCTTAAAGAGTTTTGTGCCTTCAGGTGTTTTCATCTTGTTAGCATCTCTTATTTCAGTTTGAAGAATTCCCTTTAAGCAGTTGTTCTGGGGTTTGTTTTTGTTTATTTATTTATTTTTTTCTTTGCTTGTAGGAAGAATGTGGTAGTGATAAATATGCTCAGTGTTTGTTTGGAAATGTCTCTTACCTCTTGTCATTTCTAGAGGCTAGCTTTGCTGGGTATAGTATTCCTTTTGGGTAGCTTTGCTGGGTATAGTATTCCTGTTGGCTGACTTTTGGTTATTAGGTGTCTTTTTGTTTGTTTGCTTTGCTTTGTTTTTCTTCTTTTTTTTCAACGTGTGAATATCATCTTAGTCTCTTCTGGCCATTAATGTTCTGCAATTCTTCAGTTGAGTGCCTGAGTGGAATTGAAAAAAAAAAAAAAAAGACTCAGATACATACTACTAGAAGGCAATAAAAGAAGCCACATTTCACCTCGAAGGACAGATGTACACTTTTGAACCCTTTACATGCTACTTGTTCCTTTTTTT